TTATTATTATTTTTTCATTTTTTTGCGTTTGTTTTAAACCCAGTTTGGATAAAAGAAATATGAACTTCAATTGGAAATTAATTTGCTTACAATTTTCTCGCTATCTCCATCTCTGTCTCTCGCGTTTATTTGTTATACTCTTTATACAACTACTGCAGAAGGAAGAGGAAGATGTTGATGATGATGATTTAATGATGAATGAGAAAGAACCACGAYGATTTAGAGTAAATCTCTAGTATTAAAAAACATGTAATAAAAAATGTTCTATAACGCAATCTACCTTAATGTATATATTGTATGCAGCTCTCCCTCTCTCACTCTCACTCACACTCACGTAATTGCTATGCGCTCGAGCGCACTCTCTCTCTCTCTATCCTCATTCTCTTTCTCTGTCTTTATCGTACGTTTTCCTCACACTGAACCCAAACTTAAGCTAAATTCTAGATATATAATAGTTTGTAAATTTTTCTCTGGTTATTGTTGTTGTTGTTATGAGGGGGAAAATGGAATATTCCCGGCATTCAGGACTTCGGCCTGTGTGTGATTTCACAATCACTGAGATTGGATTGGATGAGCATACATACATATGTATGTGCTAGCTGCTGCTTGGAGTATATAATTATAGTATGAACTTATTCTCTGCGGTACTGGCAATTGGCGGATTCCTTTGCGTCCTTCACTTGGCACTGATCAGTCGCCCGCATGACATGTCCGTGGAGGGCACCGAAAAGACGAAGGAGAGACAGCCGAAACGCAGGAGACTGCCGTGGGCCAGCACAGCGGAGCCCTCCCAGGCGCCAGGAACCATGGGCACCGGTGCGGCGGTTAGGCAGCGGCAGGCGTGTTTTATGATAGGAGCCAGCCTAAAATCGGAGAACAAATAAAAGAAATGTAAACAAATCTAATTGGCAGCAAAACCCTATACATACATATAAATCTGCTGACTTTTTGCAAACATTTTCTTTTTTTTTTTTTTCATATACATATATCGATAATTGGCAGCAATTTGAATATTCAAAATCAATTGTAGCATCATTCACAATAGCGGGGTACTGATTGATTATGTGCTAATGACACTTGTCGCCGGTGCTTTGTAATCGATACTGTGCGCAAAGCACTTGCAACAATTGCACGTATAACTGCTGAGCTATCGATTGTTTTTCAAAGGAATTGCGAATCGAGTGCGGCAGACCAATTTCAATTGGAGTGTCTGCTGCGCAGATTGAGAGAGAATTTAAACACTTTTGGGATGTCAAGGACAGACCGCTTACCTTTCGTGCGTTTCCCGTTTGGGCTCGCTGTACTGACGCTGAATGTGCCGCCGTTTATCGAGCAGATCGTCGACGCGTCGCTTCAGCTCCGCATCGTCCGGGCGCATCCGTTTGCCGGCATGCGTCGGCGCGTGTTCGGTTAAATCGCACGTATACAGCTGGCCATTGACCTCGGTGCCGAACTCGGAGTAGTTGATCAGCTCGTACGACTTGGTGAACTCATCGTAGAAGATGATTGCGTGCTGCGGCGAGATGCGCGAGCAATAGCCAATCGCGGATAGATCCACTGTTTCCGTGTGCGCCAGCGTCGTCGAGGGCGTGTAGTGGCCGCCATAGCCGATATACAGGGTGCGGTAGCGCATGAAAATTGACTGCTCCAGGCCGAGCGTGTTGAACCAGCGACTATCCTCGAGCATGTCGCCCAGCGGCGTGAGCACCGCCCGCGCCCGCACCTTGCACTGCAGCAGCTTCAGCTCCAGCCGCGTGGCCAGCTCGTATGCCTTCTCGGTGTCACTGCGCTGGCGCGGCACATAGCTCTCAGCGGCCGTATCTGCCGCAGCGATGGCAGCGGCTGTGGCCAGCGCTGGATGCAGCGCCATCATCGGATCCTCGTCGGCGGCATTGCCGTTCTTCTGGGCGAGAATCGAAGAGGTTTCGCTGGTGAATAGCAGTGAGAAGCGACGCATATCCTCGGGTGCCAGATCGCCCTGAAGCGCTATACTCTGGCCCGCCGGCTGCATGGCCGCGGAGAGCTGTCGCAGACGTCGTGCTGCCGTCCGATTTTTATACTGTGTCACGATCTCCGGATGCTCCTGGACCAGTTGCTGCAGGCGCTGATGGGCCAGCTTCTTGATTAGATCCACATCCAGATGGCACAGATCCGCATCGATGACGACATTCGCCTTGCACTCCTCCTCGTCCTCCTCGTAACTGAGCTCCATGCTCTCGCCGTGGCCCTGGCAACTATTCGATAGCTTCGGCTCCTCTCTGGTTGCCTCCTTATGCTCACTGTTTGCTTTTTGACTATCTGCAGCTCGCTCATCCGTGACCTCCGTCTTGGGCGATTCCACCAGCCCGTTACTCTCCTGCTGCTGCTGTTGTTGCTGCTGCGGCTGCTGCTCGGTGACGCTCTCCATGTCGCTGTCGCTGAGGCTGCCATCGAGTGGAGTGCGGCCCAGTTCCTTCTGTATTTCCCGGAATTTGGCACGAGCACAGCGCAAGGCCTCCAGATCCTTGAGCAGCGACTCGGTCACACTCTCCCGGGAGATTTCCTCCACGGCAGTGGGCAACTGTTTGCGCCGCTTCACGCGATCGTACCGCAACGTCTGCCTCATCGACGGCAGCAGAGCCGGCGGATGCTCGTAGTGGTAGCGCACGATGGCCGGCACATCGATGTGGGCGCGGCCGCGCATTGCCAGCTTCATGCGGAATGGCGGATTGCGCGTGTTCACGCGCCTGAAGAACTCCATCTTAACGTTCTCGTGGTCGAGCGGCTGATGGAAGCGATTCCACAACCGGACGCGCTCTGTGGCCGAAATGCTGTTCGTCATGTTGGCGTCCTGATGGGAGAGAGCAATCGAATTATAAACTCTGGTCGGTATTATTAATCTAAACGACTGAGGGAAACACTTACAATGAAATTCTCTACATGATTAGGGCACATCCAGAGGCCAGCGGGCAGAGCGGTCAGTGGCGGATCCAGGCAATCCTGGTGATAATACAGCGGACAATAGTCGCACGAGATGAGCGGCGCTCGCTTGCAGCTGCGCGTGCAATAGAAGCACGTCTTGGCCGGCAATGGGACCAGACCCTGTGCATCCAGTTCGAATGGCTTGGAATTGCGTCGCTGATTGCTGGGCTTGCGATGCCCGTTGCCTGTGCCGGAGTGTGGCTGCTGCACCGGCTGCACTTTGCCATTGCCCGGGAACTGGGTGTGCAGCTCCAGCTCAGGCGGCAGCGAGAATTGCTGCGGATTCAGCATGCTGGCGGCGCGGATGACATCGTCCAGTGGCGTCGGCTTCCGGTTCGGATCCAGCGCACGCTGTATGGCCAGCGGCATCTTCGAGAGCAACTTCTCGGTACTATTTCGTTCACTATTGCTGCGCTTACGTAAATTACGGATTTTCAGCGGAATGGACTCCAATTCTCCGGAGGATGGGGTATTGGCGCGAGACCCACTGCCACCCGAGGGCACTCGTTCTACGGAGCTGGCCTTGGACGAGGACGTCGGCTGTGAAACCTTGGCCATACGACAGCTGTGGCACAGCCACTGCCCACTGGGTATATCCTCCTCGTTCAGTGGAGGATCACTGAATGGTGCACAACACAATATATTACGCATATTGAAAGTCACTTTGGATTTCAGGATACTCACTGGCATTGCAGATGGAAACTGGATGGACAACGGTCGCAGCAGAGCAGATTGCCGCCCTCCTCGCAGGCGTCGCACAAGTCGTGGTTATGTCCGCGTCCTGGTCGTCTATAATATGGATGTTTCGTGTTCGTGGTGCGCTGTATCATTTTCTCTTCCTCATTCGGCGGCGGCTTGATCAGGATCTTAATTTGCTGTAGAAAAACATATTTTTCACCAGGAATCAATTAGTATTAATTAGTTTTCTCAGATATCGACTGTAATCTGTCCAATCTGCACTGCATTTGACAGGAATGACAGTACGACTGTCATCCATTTTGAGCTCATTTGACAGTTGGGTACACACCTCCATTATGCTAAGCGAACCATTTGGGTCCTGGTCGGCTTTTGACATCTTTATTAAGTTTTTCGTTAACCAGATTTTGTTAGCTTGGAAGAGCTGAAACCAAAACCAATCACAGCGTTGCATTCATGGCTTGTTGGGCCGTTCCCATCCTATCGATATATATCGCCACACGTTTCGCGTGCGGCGATACAGAGGGTGCGCCCTGTCCTTGCAGCGGTAGACAATGCGTCTCTAAATCCGATTCACCATGGAGGAACAGTCGCAAGTTCTTATTGGCCAACCTACGGGTGGCTGGTGGTTGGTTTATCGCTGTTCAAATAATTTAAAACAATTGTTTTCAAATTCTTTGTTTTTGCCAAATGAAAAAATATTAATTGAGTCCCATTAAATTTGAAAAAATTATGAGCATTTTATTTAATTTTTTTTTTATAAATTATATTTAAAATTTTTTTTTTATATATGTATGTTTATATATGTATACATATTTACAAATTATTATATTTTCATTTTGCTAATTGTCTTTTAATCAACTTCTACTAGGCTAGCCTGATCTCAATAAGTACTATTAATATATATCATTATTCACTTGAACGTAATTTATAATAAAATTATACACAAATGTTAGTTAAAGTTGCATTTTCCATTTAGGCGGGAGATGAATTACCGTTGCATAAACATTTTCGATAAACACTATATCGTTTTGTGCAGCGACTAGAGATTGTAATCGATAACGATATTCACCTTTGTCAATACAATAACAAAACGCAGCTGCTGTGGTCATAACTGCGTAAATATTGGAATTTGTAATACAGCTGCTGGTGAAAACAAAGCGGAAAATGTTTTCACTGTTCGGCAAGCGTAAGCCAGCCGAAACTCCCACCGAGGAGGTGATTCAGGGTCCAGCCGATGGACCCAAGCAGAACAACGGCGATGATTTCATATTTGTGGAGCGCAAACCTGACTCAGATCCGAGCACAGCGCCTGGTGCTGGCATGATGTACCCACCCATACCGCCGTCAGCGTACGGCCCGATGCCCTATCCTCCGCCGCTGGCGCCACGAAACGCACTTGGACCCAATCTCAGTGCGCCCATCAGCTATCTGCAGGACATTCCCTTCGAGCTGTCGCCGCAATTGGCCACCAAGGACCGATTCAACTACACACAGACGCAAGTGGATGGTATTCTGGCATTGATGACGCGCCAACTATCCGTCGATGCCATGGCCGAGGAGTACACATTCGCCCTGGAGCGTTCAGTGCAAAATGATCCCTACTAAAAGGGCGACCATGCGAACCTACTGCTAATTAGATATATGTATATCTATATATATGTTTATTTGTAAAGTAATTTTTAAATTCGCGGCATTAGAAATTGTATTATTAAGTAACAAAAGGCATAAACAACTAACTACAATCTATATTCTATAGTTGAATTATTTTTGGATTTCCCCCACGTCATTTTAGAGCTTACGTCCGCTCGCCAACAGATGGCGACACCATTGACTGCTCGAAATTTGACTTATTCCCTTCGCAGTTGGCCTTGACTTTCTAGCTGGATGTGGGGCTACAATGCCAGTTCAGTCAATAGTCATTCTATGTTCGACAGTGTAACAGTAAATTGTCAGTTCCATCGATGTTGTAAAAAAAATCTATATGTACAACAAAATATTTTTTTTCTTCGATTTCAATAGTTTTGCTCACATTTTTTTCTCTCGCGTTTTTTTGTTTTTTTTTGTTTTTTTTTTTTCTTGACAAAATTCTGCGTACATTTAAATTAAACGGAAGTGTTCAATAAAAAAGAAGAGGAAGAGGAGGACATATATTATGGCCAGCTCGAACGTATCTGATTGGGACGAGGCGCTGCCTTCGTCGACACCGGAGGAGGCCGAAGAGGAGGATACAGACTACTGCAGCCCGGAGAATCGCAAGAAACGGCAGGAGGAGAATGTCTCCAAGCTGCAGTCGTATGTGCGCCGCATGGCCTACCAGCCAGCGTTGCCGCCCAAGGCTCGAGCCTACGACGTGGCCCTATCGAGGCCCAAAAAGCTCACGGTCATGGACAACTATGAGCAATTCAAGGAAATCTACGATCCCAAACTGAGGGCCAAGCGCATCAAGCGCATGTTGGGCAAATATAATGCCATTACCACAGAGTAAGTTGAGCTCCAGCTGTCGATCTCCCCATGCCCAGGCCCATTCCCATCCCCATCCCCATTCGTTCCATCGATGCTAAGCTAACCATCCATTGCAGGCAGCTCGAGGATGTGCTAAAGAATACCAAGAAGAAGGAGCGCCGCAAGGAGGACTTCCTCAAGCGCAAACAGGAATTGTACTACAATATGCTGACCAAAATGGAGCGCCAGTGTCGCTCACAATATCTGAATGTGCTGATCAAGAAGTTTGCGAAATTCATTGCCCACTTGGCGACTACAATGCGCATACCGCCGCAGCTGGTCGATCCGTACGCTCGGATGCAACGCGGCATATTCTGCAACATATTGCTGGCGATTGGCGTGCAGCCCACATCGCAGTCGGCGATCTACTACACCAGCCAGGATGCCATTGAGTACGATGTGTGCCATCGTTTGGCCCACGCGCTGCTCAGCTTGATTATCAAGGCGCTGGATACGGCGGCCACACGCGAACCCAATGAGACACCGAAACCCTCAACGGACCTTGACTTCAAGATGGACAACTATATCAAAGAGCGTCTCATGTGCGCCGCCAAGAAGAAGATCAGAAACGAGCAGCGTCGCAAGCGGCAATCGACGTTGAATTTGAATGCTTTTCAGAAATGCTCCCGCCTCGACTGCGAGTAGCTCCGGACACCGGACACGAATCGGACTCAGCATCAACGGGATCTGTATTCCGTCCACCACTTGCTGTAATTCATATTCCGCAGTCCGAGCGCAGCGAGTTTCTCCATTCTCTAATGCATTTCATACATCGATTCTTGTATACATTTTGTTAGTACTGATTCGGGATCATTTATCCCCTCAAATATATTTGTATTTGTATTTGGATGTGGCTTATTGTCCCGGTAACGAGCACCAGCATCATGGGGCAATGGTGATGCACAGCCACTTATCTGGCACCTCGAAGCTCTCTGGGGGATTGGCGGTGTATGCTTCGCAGTACGGCACATGCCAGACGTTGCCCACCTTGTGGGCGCTCAGCCGGTAGCGAATGGGCTCCTTGACAATAATCTGGCCCGTCTGTGTCTGGGTGACCAGCGAGTATTGGTGTTCCTGCTGCCAGCGCCGGAAGATGGCCTTCAGCTCGGTGCCCAGCAGATGGGCGTGGGCGCGCATCAAGTCGCGCGAGAAGAAATCCGTGTCCTGGCCGCTGCGCAGTGTGGCGTACAACAGGAATGGATCATCGTGGGTGCTGCAAGAGAATCAATATATCAATACAGAAATATATGTGGAAAGGATTAGCTGCTCGCTCACAGATTGTTGGTGAGGAAGACGCTCGCATTGCTCTGTATATACTGCATGGCGGGCTTGGACCAGTTGCGCATGTGCTGCCGACCCAGCACCAGGACGCGCTTTCGCCGCTCCTTGAAGTAGCGCACTACGGTGGCCAGCAGCTTGGCCAGTTGTGCGGGCGGCTTCTTGGTGCCGGTGGAGTAGGCGACGTTGAGGCCATCGATGACACAGTCATAGGGCGCCGTCTTCTCCACATACTGCTTGAAGCGCTGCAGCTCCTGCGGCGTCGTCTTCTGGAACACATCGTTGCGGATCAGCACCTTCTGTAGAAACGATTCACGGAGCTCCGCGAACTGGGCATCGCTAATGGCCACATGCTGCAGATTCTGCTGGCAGGTTGAGCACTTGCCAAACAGTTCCAGCCGCGTTGTGGTCACCTGCAGCCGCTGCGGCAACCGCTGGGCCAGTGCCAAGAGCTGCTGCACCACCAGCTCGCTGATCAAGATGTCGTGCAGCTCGAGGAAGCAGAATAGCCGCTCCAGCTGGGCACCCAGTGTGCGCTCATCCTTGGCACTCTGCGCCAATAGCGACAGAAAGACCTCACATTTGGGCAATTTGCGCGCTTCGATCATTTCCTCGAGCAGACGCCAGCCCAGCTCTAGCTGATCCGCGCTAAAGGCCTTGGCTATCAGTGCACTGTAGGCGGACACACTTGGCGTACTGGTCAGGCGCATCATGTCCAGCAGGGGCAGAGCGCGATTCCAGTGCTGTGTGGTGGCCACTAGGCCAAGGATTAAGTTTTCACAGCTGCTGGCATCCAAGACATCGTGGGCGCTTTGCAGCGTATCACAGATTTCCACAATTTCCGACTGCTCCGCCTCGCTGAGCTCGCGTGTGTGGTAGGCGGCATTGTAGACTCGCAGCAGTCGCCCCATTGTCGCCGCATTGGGCTTGATGCCCTGCGTCTGCAAATGCTTGACGTAGCTCTTGGCCACCGGCAGCTGCTCGGCTCTGCTGCAGAGGCCCAGTATGATGGCATCGACGTTGGTGCCATTCACGTGCCTGTAGCTCTCAGTTAGTGTGCTCCGCACGTGCTGCCAGTCCTCATTGCTCAGCGCGCATTGCCGTTCGAAATATTCGCTCTTCAGGCGGTCCAGCTGATCCGATGGTATCGCGCCGAGCTGCGGCCTCCGCTTGTGTTGGCCGGCTAAGAGGCGACATGGCGGTAAATGGGTTAATGCTGTTCCAGAGTTCTGTAGGACTAGACTATAGCGCAATTGACGCAACAAACGTAAATTGTACATAATTCAGTTTGTTATCAGTTTGCACCTGTTGCCGGTACGGCAATCGAGAATGCTTATCGATATGCACTATCGGATCATTCATCGCGATTTTGATTTATTTTTAATGGATTTTTTTTTTAACTTCTGACCAAAATCTATGGAAAATTAAAAGTTTTTTTTTTTTTTTTTTTTTTTTGCAGTCTTTTAAATATGAGCCATTGAGTGGATAAAACCTATTTAATATTATATTCGATACACAATGCGGACCCATACATATATCGAGGAATATTCCTATCAAGTTAGTGGTGACACAAATTTGCTTCGTGCTAATCGATTAGCCTTTGGTATGTTTGTCTACAATATCAATAGCTTACATAGTGTGAAGCGGAGCAAAATAAATAAATACATTTAACTATAATATAATAATAAGTGTGATAGTGCTCCAGTGGTCGCATCAGCAATCGCAGGTAAATTCATAGTTACCATACTTTTATTACTAATAATAAGGTGTAAATAAAATGCCCAACTGCATTTAGTCACCGGAATCAACAATTGTGAATACCGAAAACTAACATCAAGCCTAGTTTTATAATTAGGTTTATTACGCATTCGGTCGGCTTACCGGCCAATTTAGGTAAATATGTTTGTATAAAGACATCCATGTAAACCTTCTGCAGCTGCAATAACCAAGTCGCTATTTGCTATAGAGCCGCACTTAGATACGTACATACTACATACGTACATACATACATTCATAAAGTACGTACATATGTTTCTGGCTGTATGCATGTGTGTGTGCAGGCTGGTGAAATAACTAGTTTTTCTGTGTAAATTYGCAAGGAATCCTCCACCATTCACCAGATGAACTTGCAGACATCGCTCGTCTCTCATTTAAATTGCTCTCAGTTGTAGTAGTTTTAAGCGCGCCCGGTCTCTATGTGTGCATTTGTGTTGGTATATGTGCATCGTGCATCTGCCCTCGCTCTTTCTCTCTCTCACTCCCTCCCTCTGTATTTTTCTGCCCGCGCCTGACTGGGAACAACCAACCAATGCAGATTACAGCATCTCCGCAACGACGAGCTGCATTCCTGAAGCTCTTGGGCCCAGTTGCCGCTTGCTAAAAACGATGCACACCTAGAGTACCTTCGCTTCAAATTCGATATATACGGTAATAATATCTGTATATTGGTGTAAGTTTATTGGCGTCTTCAATTTAAACCACCTGTTGAGCTACTCAATAAACACACACACGCATAGGCAAATCACATATGTACATGGTTCGTGAATAAATTAAGCTAATGCACCAATCTATCAAAGGAGAGCCTATGTACCTAACTAGGCTGAGCTGTTCGGCTTTGGTACATTCGTAGCCGACAGCCGAGAGCCGAGAGCAGGGCGCAATCGTGTTTGTTAGTGTCGTTGATTCGGCGCATACCTGCTGCACTCACACACACACGTATACACTAAGCCACACTCACACACGTATACAATCATTGGGAGGGCGGCCGGCAATAGTTGCAGTTTTCCTTTCAGATTTTGTGTGTCTACCACGGGAGCGGAGAAAATTTTTCATCCACATAGAGTAAAGTTTTTTTTTTTTTTTTTCAGAGTATTTTTTGACCGGCCGGTTTATGCACACAAATTGAACTCGCATTCCTTTGGCAGGGTTTCTCTAACGCTAACGCTTACGCTTCAAACGAGCATCAATGGTTACCATGGAGAACAGCGATGAGATTCTACAAATTTTAGAGCGTTTCACACAGCTCAAGCAGAAGGAAATACCCAAAGAGCTGGAGGACTATTTGCAGTATGTGGCCAAGACCGGCGACACCGTCTTCAAGTGGTCCAGCCTCAAGTATTTGTTCCGCGAGAAGCTGCTAAGTGTGATCAAGCACTTTAACGAGGACCCACCACGTCTGGAGGGTAAGTGAATCCTACGAATCCCGTCGGTAGCCCACTTCGATAAAATACATTTTTAATTTCTGCCCACACAGAGATACCCAATTACCCGAACGTCGATCCCTTCAACTTTGAGACAATGAAGGCCTCCCTGCTGGAGCGTCTCGATTTATTCAATGCTGCTCCCTTCACGGTCCAGCGGCTCTGTGAGCTACTGATTGAGCCTCGCAAGCAATACTCGCGCATCGACAAGTACATGCGAGCGCTCGAGAAAAATATACTGGGTGAGTAGGAGTTGGCCGTAAGCGGATCACGACATGAACTCTAATCTCGTGTGTGTCCACATATCTAGTTGTTAGCACCATTGATCCGGGTCGCAAGCGCACGGACAGCGACAATGGCGATTCGCTAGACTCTGTCGGCAATGGGGATATTTCGCTAGAGGTCAACATCGACATCGAGATGGAGAACGAGAACATCTTCAATAACGGAGATGACCGCAACGTCCCCATCGAGGAGACCAATTGCCTTGCTATGAAGGCCAGCTGCCCACGCAGCGACGACAGCGCCGCTGCTCCGCCGAAGGCCAAGAAGGCCAAGCTCGACTTTGACGAGAATGAGCAGCGCGACGAAGAGGATGCTGAAGAAGCGGATGAGGAGGTCGCCACCGTGAACAGCAAGTCCAAAGCAGACAAAGCCAAGGCAGAGGCTGCTGATGAAGACCGTGATCTGAAGACGGATGTGACTGAAGCTGCTCGCGAGATACCCGAAATTGAGGAACCCGATGAAGAGGAGGAGGCACCAGTCAAGAAATCATTCAGCGCAGACAAGGAAGCGAAGAGTCTAACGACAGAGCCTAACGCGGATATTCCAGAATTGGCCGAGCCCGATGAGATTGACCGAGGCGTTGCAGAAACTGTAAAGGATGCAGCCATCGACAGTCAGGTCAAGGATCCATTGACCAGTGCGGACGAGGAAGATGCGGCCGGTGGGCAGATGAAAATTATTGAAAAGCAGGAAGTGGAGAGAGCTGAAAAGAAGTCGGACTCGCCAGCGAAAGATGCGGAGAAAGCATCGAAGCAGAGCGAAGACGCCGCTGTCGACGATTCTGAGGAGAAGAAATCATCCAAGGACGCCAGGCCAGCGGAGCCGGCTGAGAAGGCGGAGCAACCAGCAAAGGCCTCACCAGAAAAGGCCAGTGAACCAGCAGCTGTCGCCGGCCAGTCTGTAGCTGACAAGGATGGAGATTCTGTGGCCGCGAAGGCACCTGATGCCGAGGCCAAGACTGACACCCAGCTGGAGATCAAGGCAGACCCTGTTGACGAGAGCAATACCGAAAAGACTGAGACCAAAGCAGCAACTGCAGCTGATGCTGAGCCGGCTGCGATTGCTGCAGCAGCTCCAGCTGCAGATGATCCAGAGAAGGCGCAGAAGATCGCTGATGCGACCGCCGATACAGATGGAGCTGCAGTTGCAGTTGCAACTGTTCCCGTTACAGCTGTTCCCATTGAGACCGATGAGTTGGCCACGCCTCAATCGCCGCCAGCAGCAGAAGCCGACGAAGCGCCGGCAACCGATACAGTTGCTTTTACAGCCTGTGCCACGCCCACATTGGCACTGAACGATCAGCCCATGGAGGATACACCAGTCGAGGAGGACGAACAGAACTCGATCACAGCGGTCGTCGAAGAGGTTGTCATGGCCGAGAGCAGTTTGCTTATTGGCGACATGGCCACCGACGACGGGCCCAAGGATGAGCCGGACGCCATGGAGGTGGATGACACCAGTCAGGAGGTAATGGTCCAATAAATGATGATGATTGGCTCCATGCGGTCACGCAGATCGACAGCGACTATTATGAATACTTACACCTACTCCACATAAATAGAACATAATGAGTAGAAGATAAAAAGGATACACACACACCGACACACACACACAGCAGACCAATCCCAAGAGTTATGGGATATATAACTTGATTATCTAGGGTTTTACCTTTAGGCCATAGCTGATATAATACTATGATATATGTATGTCTCCAACGTATTCCCAATCGAGCATTCAGAGCCGTCTGGAGATGCACTCACACAGACACACAGGCAGACACAACGCGAATTATTATTTTTTTTTTTTAATTGTAAGTTTGAGAATTAAGTTCATGCAGATCTATATTCCATATATATGATAGTTTTCCATATTGTTGAGCGTACATGAATCGATCGAACACATCATGTCATATTTTATATTTATGTATCATTGCCCGTTCCACAATGAGCAATTACTATTATCTCTTATCTCTTACGTATTATCTATGATCAATTATCATTAAGCTCAAAAGTTGATCATCTACTTTCGTTTACTATTCGATATAGAATTTAATCATAATTTTTAATTCCTTTATTTTCCAACATAGAAGCAAGTCAAATCAACTTCATACATAGCTAATAATGAAATATTGGAAAACGTTTATTATCAAGAAGAGAGTACGATCTTTATACAGTGGATTATATGTGTTTAGCACATCAGAATTCTCCTCTAATCAATGTCATGTCTAAATAAAAATTATTGCGTTTATGTGTGTATAGATATACGTGTGGATATATATATTTCGTGCTTTTTGCGGGGGGGTAGGTTTAGGGGTAGGGGGAGCATTATATAACACAACAATGAACAAACAATTCATATGGCAAATTTGGTTAACAATTTGGTAATGCAGTGTAGCCAATGGATATCCGAGTGCGCAACATCAAAAGCAACAGCAGCAGCAGCAGGAGCAACAACAACGACAACAACAACAACTACAACAACCACGAGCACAGCCAACGGACGAGCGATACCGTACCGTTCCGTTCCGTTGTTGGCCTGGCCGACTGGCTAACGGACTCGTCGACTTGTCGGTTGGGCACACATCACGGATCCGGTCCGGGACCTGGGTGCGGGTCAACTGGGCGCGCCTAGCCCAGGAGCACCTTGCGCATCATGAAGCCGCTGCTGGCGCTGCTCGCATTGCTGCTGGATGCGCGCGACAGCTCCTCGGGCTCGATGCACTTCGATGAGCAGAGGTACTGCAGCAGCGGGACGCGATATTTGCCACAGAAGTCCACGAACTTGATGTGCTCCACCCGATTGTCGAAGAAGACGCCCTTGCAGTTGGGGTTCACACAGCAATTGGCGCTGTTCAGATAGTCGACCAGGGTGCGCGGCACATCCTCCGGCCCGGGACGCTGCCCGCTGGCCTTCACAATGCGCCCGGCCAGCTCCAGCAGCGTCGGCGGCTTCAGTGCCATGTCCTGCACAAAGCGCACCACCAGCGGATTGTCGCGCAAGCTCAGCTAAAGGCAGAACAGAAGAAGATCGATTGAGTTGAGATTGAGACAGATCTTAAAGGAGCTGATCGGCTTAGCCCAGTGGCTCACCTCGGTCAGGTTCTTCAGGGCGACAATGTCCTTGGGCAAGTGCTTCAGTCTATTCTTGTGCAGCAGCAGCGACTTCAGGTTCTTCAAGCGTGCAATGCTCATCGGCAGATTCTCGATGAGATTGTCGCAGAGCACCAGCGCCTGCAGCTGGCTGAGGGAACCAACCGCCTCGGGCACCTCGTTGACCAGATTACCGCCCAGCGAAAGCACATGAAGGCTGTGAAAGACAGAGAGGGAGAGAGAGGGTGAGCAGGAGTGTGAAAGAGAGAGAGAGAGAGAGAGAGAGAGAGAAAATAATGAATATACTTGAATTGGATTTCTTAAAGATTATGAACAAATTATGAGGTGATATTTGTGGCTTTGGGTTAGGATCCTTCCTAAAATCCTGTTTCCTTGAGACTCAGGCTTGGAATGCTTTAATGGCTTGTCCATAGATTCATGGGCTTATATGGAGAATGAAGTCCAGAGATTGGAGCTCAGAGATGAAACATACTACCATAGGTATATAGTATATATCCTATATATACTATGCTATATGTATATCCCATTCTCTGACACCAAATTGAGATCAACTAAACTAAACTTTCTCTAATCAACAATACCAATCCCCAACTCTAATTCCAACTTTAGGTTATCTCTTATCACTTCTTCTAAGAGGTATTCGCAGTTAATTCAAGACCGTTATCAGATGGCCTATGTCTATTTCAGTCCAGGGCCGAGTTCACTTCTGTTGGGGCTCTTAGTGCGAAAAACATTTCATAGATAAACACGTCTAGCTGACAGTTTATATAAGTGCTTAGGCATAATACTTCTACTCAGGGGGGCGCTGTATCCAAGGCAGCTTTCTGAGATAAAAGTCGCCCGGTTTTGAGTCTATAGATAAACGTTATACTGGTATTATAGTAAATAATCTTGGCTTTGTTAGCTATGAATAATTTTCTAAATAGGGCAAGAGCTTTCGAAGCAAACACCTGATAAGGAGAGCTTGATATAGTGCAGGTCCAAATGTTCATTTCTCGATAGTTGGTATCACTAGATAATGAGACTTGATTTAGTGTTTTTTTTTTTTTTTTTTTGCTTTTTCTTTTATAGGTAAGTCCCACGACAATAAAAAAACGGCTCTTTGTTATTATTTATATGTTATGTTTATAGCCTTAAATTGATATGGGAATAGATTGTTCGAGCTATCGTAAGTCTTATCTAATTGTCTAACGATATTAATCAGACTGATAAATAGAAACCGTTTCGCTACACTTTGCTGCTCGGCTGGAATCGGTTTTTCCAAACTCCGTAATCGGCTGTTGCTGGTCAGGAAGCTCGGCGTTTGAGATAAGTGTTTCCATTTCGAATTGGCTCACATATTCTTTTGTTTTATATTTATTATTGTGTTTACTTATAAAAATGCCCCATTGATACCTATATGTCTCTCCCTCTCTCTCTCTCTCTCTCTCCCTCTCTCTAAATATTATATATATTTATTTTTATGAGTGTGTCGAGTGTGCGTGTTTCATTTATTTTCGCGATAGATTTGGCTTTTACAATGCGCGCCCGAAGCCACTCGAAAGTCCGCTTATCAGACCATCAAATAGACTTGAACCCCCAACCGCCGTTGTCGATTCTCCACCAAAGTGTTACGCTTGACAACAACTGAGGCTGAGCATGCGAGCCAGTGCGAAAATGCAAATGCAAAGCACTACAAAACAGCTGACGAATGGAAGGAAGGAAGGAAGGAAGAAAGGAAGCTGCTTTAGCCAATAACGTATACTTAATATTAGCAGGGAACTGGATCATTGTAAATAGGAGATCAGCTGTACAGCTATTAGGCTCAGATGGAGACAGAGAGAAGCGGAAAGAAAGAGAGATTGGGGGGAGAGTGAGAGACAGAGAGATTGAGGGTAAGAGATGGGCAATGCGATAAATCTGTCTGGTGGGATCTCGATTCCTTCAGATGTTCATGGCTAAGCTTAAGCTCTAAGTGCAATATTGAGGAAGTGAGACGGAAAGAGAGATGAGAATCTATCGGTAAGAGATAGTCAATGCGATAGATCTGTCTCGTTTGCGTGGAATTTTGATAGCTTGATGTCTCTAGGCTGTTCCTGGATAAGCTGAAGCTCCATCTGCTGTTCAAAGCCTTCAAGTGTCACCAAAAAGCACAACATTAAGACGGGGAGAGAGAGAGAGGGACGAACAGAAAGAGAAAGGAAAGACTGGGATATGAGATAAGTAATGCGATAGATCTGTCGGGTCTGCGTGAAATTTTGATTCCTTCTGATGTTCATGGATAAGCTTAAGCTGCTATCTTGATAGCTTGCTGTCTCTAGGCTGTTCCTGGATAAGCTTAAGCTCCATCTGCTGCTCAAAGCTTTAAAGTATCACTTAAATTTAAAGATAGAAAGAGAGGAAAAGAGGAAAGGAGGGAGATAGGGAGATAGGGAGGGAGGTAGGTATGGAAAGAGCCGGGACTAAGGGTTAGGCTCCGTAGGAATTGTTTACATTTCCGATACCTTTGCATCTTCCAGATATCCTTGGATATGCTCGAGATCTTGTTGCCGCCCAAATACAGATACTTGAGCTGGCGCAGCTCGGTGACCTGTTCGGGAAAGTGGATCAGCTGATTGCCGCTCAGATTGAGCTCCTTCAGCGTGGAGGTGCCGCCATGCACATTGCCCATCTGCTTGGTGAGCAGGGATTTGGGCAGCGACGAGTTGGTCAACAGATTATTCTTGGCTATCAGCGTGACCAGCGGCAGCTGGCAAATGGCATCCGGCAGCTGGGTGAGCGCATTTGAGCTCAGATCGAGTATCTTGAGATTGGTGAACTGCTGCAGCACGCGCGGCAGCGCCACCAGGCGATTGTGATTGAGCAGCATGGTCTCGATGTCGCCGCTGGTCTTCAGCAGCGCCTTGTGGGGCGAGCTGAGGTGATCCTCCAGTGTGCCCACATCCAGATTCATGCGACCAAAGTCGATGGTCTTCTGCTCGCGCGAATCGGTGTCCGAGCTATCCGACGTATACAGCTCCATTGCTCCGATCAACTTCACTACTGGCCTATACGGCTGCCTCTATCGATGCAATGCCAATGCGAGTCTCTCTCTATATGTATTTCTTTATATGCACGTATGTATGTGTGTGTGTGTGCGGGTGTGTATGTGTGTGTGTGTGCGGGTGTGTGTGTGTGTGTGTTTGTTGTTTGTTATTCAAGAGTGTGTTGTTTTCTTATTATTGTTGTTGTTGTTGTTGTTGTTGTTGTACTTTATTTTCTATAAGCTCTTTATGGCTGTCTCTGCTTCTCCTCTGTGTGCGCGCGATCGCATCGCTTCTTCTGTTTGGCCAGCCGGGACTGCGACGCAAATCGGAATAACAACAATAACAACGGTAATCGTAGCACAGAAAAAAAAATGTTTCTATATGTATATGTGTATATATACGAGTGTGTGTATGTATATATTATATTCACTAACTATATCAATTGGGCAGAGTCGAACGACGCGCACCAGACCCAAGCATTGACTGAACTGCGATCTGCCAACGGCTCGGCGCCTCCGCTGCTGTACAACGCGACTGATCCAGCCGCGTCGATGTCGATGCCGACGCCGATGCCGATGCCGATTGTCGTCTTCGTTGCGCACGAGGCGCAACAGGCGTATGCGTAATATATGCATGCACACACACACACGCACATGCCAAGCCCGCACACACACAGAGCCGCACACGGATACAGGTCCACTAAGCACAGACTCTGCCGTGCTCGTTGTTTTCGGGATAAACACGCGCGGCCAATGCTGAGCGCTGCCTGACGTGGGTCAATCGAACAGTTCTTCGCTTCACTGGGCCGAGGTGAACTTTGACATTGGCTGCTCGATGGGTTGTTGGGTTTGTTTATAGCAAGTTTATATAATGAATATGCGCAGACGGCCCAAGAGCATCTTCAACACCTTCAAGTAGCACTTCAAAGTGATTTTGAAGGCGAGGCTRTGGGGGCTGAATTATTTAACTAT